ACTTTAGTTTGAGGTATTATTTATTAAAATTTAGTGGTTATCCCACACATCTCCTTGGGACGGTTGGTGGGGGGTGGGGGGGAGGGAGGGACCAACCGACCATCTGTTACCCTGTGAAGAATTATTATTTTTTTTTATTAACTGAAGATATTTGTTTTAGCTCATAAAATTCATACAAATTACCCGGTCAGAATATAATTTACATTGCTGGAATTCTTATAATTTGGTGATCATTTTGAATATAAACATCATATATTTTGCTTTAAACTTACAATTTTTAGATAAAAATTTTTCTCTAGGTAACTATGGTATCTTTTGTGCAAAATATATGACATTTATATTCAAAATATTCCTGGTCTTACAAGGAATCCAGCAATGTCAATTATATTATCCTAACTTTAATCTGAGGTATTATTTAATACTAAATGTTAAAAACTCTGGAAGGGAGGATTGGTGGGGGGTGGGGGGGAGGGTTGGGACTGACCGCGCGGTTGGAAGAGGGGGGGAGGCAAGGTGGGGTACTTTGATTGACAGATAGTGTCGTGAAGATTATTTTTTTTTTATTAACTGAAGATATTTGTTTTAGCTCATAAAATTCATACAAATTACCCGGTCAGAATATAATTTACATTGCTGGAATTCTTATAATTTGGTGATCATTTTGAATATAAACATCATATATTTTGCTTTAAACTTACAATTTTTAGATAAAAATTTTTCTCTAGGTAACTATGTTATCTTTTGTGCAAAATATATGACATTTATATTCAAAATATTCCTGGTCTTACAAGGAATCCAGCAATGTCAATTATATTTTCCTAACTTTAGTTTGAGGTTATCCCACACATCTCCTTGGGACGGTTGGTGGGGGGTGGGGGGGGGGAGGGAGGGAGGGACCGACCGACCATCTGTTAGCCGGCTGTGTAGTGTGAGAGGGGGAGGGAGTTGAGTCCATTATTTGAATGGACATTAACTTGGCGACTGTATTTCTCTATTTCTCTTAAGTATTAATTGTGTGCATGTACCATCATAAAATTAAGATGTTATTTTTACTACAACATAGGTATGTGCCTTCAAAAAGTGGAGTTTGGGGGTCGGGCCGGTTTCTATTGGAATTAATCCCATATGTTCTGTTGTTCACTTAACGCGGATTTCACTTAACGCGGGACCCTCTGGGTTCAATTGACCGCGTTAAGTGGGGTACAACTGTAGTAGCAAATGCCTCTGCAATTTGTTCTTCGGAGCACTACCAGAACTCTCACTTTTGCGCTTGCCAGTCATTTCAAAGGGAATTAGAACAGAAAATATTGAAAATATTGTCAGTACACAACGCGATCACTACCGACAACAACGACGGCCAAACACCAACTGAGCGTGCTATGGCGTGGACACTGTACACCACGAGGCGGCCCAGCCCACGCCACGCTCTCGTACGGGAAGGAAACGTTTCGGTGCTGGAAAATACGTACCTAATTTGAAAATTTTTTGGTACGACCGAGGCGGTTGTATGTCCGGATGGTTGTACAATCGAGTTGGTCGTAAGTCGAGGACTACCTGTATATATATTTGTGTGATATATATCTATAAAAAAGGACCAACACACCTTAGTCCGCCGGCGTAGTCGTTGGGTTCCCATGGTGGTCACCTCTTCCGCCTACACTGCCGTTGGTGTCTTATTGGAGCTCTGTAAGCATGTCTGCTTGATGCGAAGCTCCCCACAGGTTTTTTTGTTAGGGCTTACTCCCGTAGCCTTATACCTACCAAGGTTAATCCGCAAGGCAGCGGGGCAATGGCTGGTAGGTGCCAGAATGTGTCCACATGCCAGTGAGCTTATGCGCCATCCCTCTAGGGCCCACTGCTACTCCGAGATCCCCTGCTGGTCTAGCCTGGGCCCACGAGGCACCCAGTTACTGTGTGTTGCCACGAGGAGGCACAGCAGGAGTCTTGATGGTGGGGAGGCTGTGTACTGGCAGGGGAAGACTTATGCAAATTGCTTCCCTGTTCGCCACGAGGACTAACCAGCGGCAGCAGCTGAAAGCAAGAGGGAGCAAGCAGTGCTTGCACCTTAACACTAACATAATGCTGCCACACTAGATGCATTTCACCACCCTGTGTGTGACACATACACACACACAAACACACACTACACTACCTGTAAATAAGCTATATAATATGTCAATAATGTTGTGTTGCCTGTTATAGGTACACTACACTCCCTGTAAATAAGCTATATAATATGTCAATAATGTTGTGTTGCCTGTTATAGGTACACTACACTACCTGTAAATAAGCTATATAATGTCAATAATGTTGTGTTGCCTGTTATAGGTACACTACACTACCTGTAAATAAGCTATATAATACAGTATTATCCCGCCTAACGCGGTTTCACTTAACGCGTTTTTTCATATACGCAGTGCCTCGCCAGAGCTGAACTTTCACTTAACACGGATTTTTTCCACATATACGCGGTGAGTGTCCGGCTCGAGACGCTATTTTTAGATTTGCCCCACCCGCCACCCTGCCTGACTGCCTGTTTTAGCTCATAAAATTCATACAAATTACCCGGCCAGAATATAATTTACATTGCTGGAATTCTTATAATTTGGTGATCATTTTGAATATAAACATCATATATTTTGCATTAGACATACAAATTTTAGATAAAATGTTTTCTCTGAGTAAATATGTTATCTTTTGTACAAAATATATGACATTTATATTCAAAATATTCCTGGTCTTACAAGGAATCCAGCAATGTCAATTATATTATCCTAACTTTAGTTTGAAGTATTATTTATTACTAAAAAGTTAAATATTCTGGTTATCCCACACATCTCCTTGGGACGGTTGGTGGGAGGTGGGGGGGAGGGAGTGACCGACCGACCATCTGTTACCCTGTGAAGAATATTTTTTTTTTTATTAACTGAAGATATTTGTTTTAGCTCATAAAATTCATACAAATTACCCGGTCAGAATATAATTTACATTGCTGGAATTCTTATAATTTGATGATCATTTTGAATATAAACATCATATATTTTGCATTAGACATACAAATTTTAGATAAAATGTTTTCTCTGAGTAGATATGTTCTCTTTTGTGCAAAATATATGACATTTATATTCAAAATATGCCTGGTCTTACAAGGAATCCAGCAATGTCAATTATATTATCCTAACTTTAATCTGAGGTATTATTTAATACAAAATGTTAAAATTTATTTTTTTCACCCAACATCTCTTGAAGGGAGGATTGGTGGGGGGTGGGGGGGGAGGGTTGGGACTGACCGCGCGGTTGGAAGAGGGGGGAGGCAAGGTGGGGTACTTTGATTGACAGATAGTGTCCTGAAGAATATTTTTTTTTTTATTAACTGAAGATATTTGTTTTAGCTCATAAAATTCATACAAATTACCCGGCCAGAATATAATTTACATTGCTGGAATTCTTATAATTTGGTGATCATTTTGAATATAAACATCATATATTTTGCATTAGACATACAAATTTTAGATAAAATGTTTTCTCTGAGTAAATATGTTATCTTTTGTACAAAATATATGACATTTATATTCAAAATATTCCTGGTCTTACAAGGAATCCAGCAATGTCAATTATATTATCCTAACTTTAGTTTGAAGTATTATTTATTACTAAAAAGTTAAATATTCTGGTTATCCCACACATCTCCTTGGGACGGTTGGTGGGAGGTGGGGGGGAGGGAGTGACCGACCGACCATCTGTTACCCTGTGAAGAATATTTTTTTTTTTTATTAACTGAAGATATTTGTTTTAGCTCATAAAATTCATACAAATTACCCGGTCAGAATATAATTTACATTGCTGGAATTCTTATAATTTGATGATCATTTTGAATATAAACATCATATATTTTGCATTAGACATACAAATTTTAGATAAAATGTTTTCTCTGAGTAGATATGTTCTCTTTTGTGCAAAATATATGACATTTATATTCAAAATATTCCTGGTCTTACAAGGAATCCAGCAATGTCAATTATATTATCCTAACTTTAATCTGAGGTATTATTTAATACAAAATGTTAAAATTTATTTTTTTCACCCACATCTCTTGAAGGGAGGATTGGTGGGGGGTGGGGGGGAGGGTTGGGACTGACCGCGCGGTTGGAAGAGGGGGGGAGGCAAGGTGGGGTACTTTGATTGACAGATAGTGTCCTGAAGAATATTTTTTTTTTATTAACTGAAGATATTTGTTTTAGCTCATAAAATTCATACAAATTACCCGGCCAGAATATAATTTACATTGCTGGAATTCTTATAATTTGGTGATCATTTTGAATATAAACATCATATATTTTGCATTAGACATACAAATTTTAGATAAAATGTCTTCTCTGAGTAACTATGTTATCTTTTGTGCAAAATATATGACATTTATATTCAAAATATTCCTGGTCTTACAAGGAATCCAGCAATGTCAATTGTATTATCCTAACTTTAGTTTGAGGTATTATTTATTAAAATTTATTGGTTTTCCCCCAAAAATTTCTCAGGGGGAAGAGCCAGCAGTGTAGTGTGAGAAGAGGGGGAGAGAGTTGAGTCCATTATTTGAATGGACATTAACTTGGCGACTGTATTTCTCTATTTCTCTTAAGTATTAATTGTGTGCATGTGCCATCATAAAATTAAGATGTTATTTTTACTACAACATAGTTATGTGTCTTCCAAAAGTGGAGTTTGGGGGTCGGGCCGGTTTCTATTGGAATTAATCCCATATGTTCTGTTGTTCACTTAACGGGGATTTCACTTCACGCGGGACCCTCTGGGTTCTATTGACCGCGTTAAGTGGGGTACAACTGTATGTCAATAATGTTGTGTTGCCTGTTATAGGTACACTACATTACCTGTAAATAAGCTATATAATATGTCAATAATGTTGTGTTGCCTGTTATAGGTACACTACACTACCTGTAAATAAGCTATATAATATGTCAATAATGTTGTGTTGCCTGTTATAGGTACACCAGTGAGCAAGTGTATGGGCAGTTCAAGACCCTCCTCACCCAGTATAATACTCGAAAAATGAAACCTTGGTCACCTCCTCGTGGGAGCCGGAAGGTCCAGAACCCAGTTGGTGCTCCATATTGGGAAAAGCTACATAAGGTTCTTAATCTTAGGAAGAGCATGTCACTAAGCTGGACTACAGGTAAGTTAACTTAAAGTTGGTTATGATCTTTGAGTGTTGTGAGTTTAGTTATTTAACCCTTTCAGTCCTAAGCTTGGTCTGTTTTTGTATCACTAGCATAAACATCAATGATAATAATAGTAATAATAATAATAATAATAATAATAATAATAATAATAATAATAATAATAATAATAATAATAATAATATTGTGGCACCTCCCCAAAACATTCTAAATAAAGATCAAATAATTCATTAAAAAACAGCTTCATCTAACAATATTTGAAGGTCTCTACATGGTGAAGTTTCATCCTCACATGCTGTTAGTTGATGGAGAAGAAAACTGTGAGGGAAAGTGCTTCTCTAACTGCAGATGCATTAAAGGACTTTTGGGGGAAGCACACACAGTATTACCTCAAGCTTACATAACTGACACAGTGGTCAAGATCTTTGAGGAGTGGATGATGTTGAAAAATAAATCAAAACAATTGAGCCAAGAGGTCAGTGGGCCTCGAACAGAAAGAGGAGACATTCAGTTCATCCCTCGATTGGCTTTTGACATTGTCACATCAATGCCAAGTACCGATACATCGTTACATCCCTAGTTCAGAGCCTGAAAAACATTTTCTCCCAGTTCAACTCGTCATTTTTCCAAGAAATTTTTATTTCTCTTATTTATTCACTAAATATAAATTTGTAGAAGATTCATCTCTCAAATGATGCAAAAAAAAAATATATATAAAAAAATGAAATGCATGTGAACCCTGATAACTGACGTCATGTTGACTGCCAATTCACTCAACCGAAGTTTACAAATACGGGAGTCGGCAGAGGTAATGTCCCTGCTGGTCTGCGCTGCTGTATTGAAGCAGAAATAATTTGGAATAGTGATTTACACCTGAATAATTTTTTAGTGAAATGACTGTGACCCTAAACAAATACACAGATTAGGAAGATAAGGCCCTACCCTACCACAGTTCTAAACAACTTCACCACAGCCACACAACAAGGCCCTACCCTACCACAGTTCTAAACAACTTCACCACAGCCACACAACGAGGCCCTACCCTACTACAGTTCTAAACAACTTCACCACAGCCACACAACAAGGCCCTACCCTACCACAGTTCTAAACAACTTCACCACAGCCACACAACGAGGCCCTACCCTACCACAGTTCTAAACAACTTCACCACAGCCACACTGTCTAATTTTCTGAAAAGTAATTACACTTTCTATATAATTATTAAACTAGAGTACTGTACAGTAATCTATTAACTGATTCAGTGGAATACCCTAATACAGGTTGACAATCCCTTATCCGAAATCCTTGGGGCCGGAGGCATTTCGGTTTAAGGAATTTTTCGGTTTTCAGAATGGTTAGTTTTTTTTTTTTTTTTTTTTTTTTTTTTAATAGCCTACCCAGGCACAATCACTGACCCACATTGGGGCCTGAGGGCGAAAATATAATAATAATAATATAATAATGATAATAATAATAATAATAATAATTCATAGGTCTAGGTCGTGTTTCTCACTTTTTATCTTTTTTCATTCTTGTATTTCTTTATTATTATTATTATTATTATTATTATTATTATTATTATTATTATTATTATTATTAATTTTATTATTTTGTTTTATTTATTATTATTATTATTATTATTGTTATTATTATTATTATTATTATTATTATTATTATTATTATTATTATTATTATTATTATTTTATTTTGGTGGTTTTTATTAAATTTTTTATTTACTATGAATAATTATTATTATAATTAGTATTATTATTACATTTTCTCCCCCCAGGTCCCGATGTGAGTCAGTGATCCATGCCTGGGTGGGCTAATCCCTGTTTAAAAAAAAAAAAAATTGCTCCACAAAAAAAAAACTCGATTTTCAGAGGTTTTCGGAATATGGGATAAATTGTTGTCTACCTGTATAAGCATATATCAAAAGGTCTACTATTATAATTTAACCATGTTACTAGCCTTTACCAGATGGTAGATGATGATGAGTGTAGTGTTAAATATCTTGTGTTATACCACAAGGATGTTTTTATTGTACCCTAAATGTTATGGCCAAAATAAATAACTCAACTAGATTGTTCCTGTATTAGCACCAGGAACAGTATCAGGTCGTCCCTTATAAACTACAGCAGACGTACAATTGGTTGTTTGAAGGCCTTGGACCATCTCAAATTCATGAGTGTTGTCTGTACATCTGTGAGGTTTATTGTCTTGCAGCACTCTCGGTGGCTTGAGGAGGTCTGCCGTACGTGGCGTCTCTTCGGTCTCTGCATGGCATCCTTATTCAGTCATGTGACTGTTTATTTGTGAAAATATTTTAATAGTTATATAGTTTTCTCCAAAACAACAAATCTATCATTGTTTATGTTTGGTGATTTTACTAATTTACCCTGAGGTAATTTTTTATGAATTTTGGGTAAGTAAACCAGTCTCAGTTTAAGAGATAGATTTACCCACATTACGCCAAAATTAAGTTCCTGATAGACCAGTAACTTAACAAGTCGTTCAAATTCCCTTTTTTTTTGTCATCTCGTCTGAACTACTAGGTGCGTAAGCATTTAAGCAAATTAATTATCTATTACAAGTTGGACCTCACTAATCCGGGAAGCTTGGGACCAGACCATTTCCGGATTAGCGATAATTCCGAACAATCAAAGCCGAGGTTAAAAAGAGGCAAAATAATGCATAATATATACTATTACTGGTACCAATACAACTTACATCAGCATAAATCTAGCCCAGGCTTACTGGACCTCTTTATGACAAAGTGTACACAGTAGATGATCCCACACCATATTCTGCACACAAGGCCCTGACCAATGTACCACTGTCTAATTTCATCAGTATATAGACACCTTTTCTAAAATAGTTAATGTCACATGCTTATGTTTTGTTGCATTACAACCACTTCCACTGCTTGTTGGTCTCTTAGGAGGCATATTTAGGGGTAATATATATATGCATATTAACCCTCTCAGCCTCGCACGATCAAACATAAAAGGCGAAAAAACTTACGCTCAGCCTCGCGACGCCAACGTGGCGTCCAATGGGCTATATTTTCAAATAATTCAAAACTTTTCAGTGAAAATGACTGAACTTGGACACCATTTGATAGACATTGTTTTCTTCGTGTGAGCCTTATCACCTTACCCGAGATGATCAATTTCAATTTTTAAATTTCAATTGTTTTTTCCTTGATAGAGGAAGCGGGATCCTAGTGCTGTCACTAGGTACCCCTGTACATTAACACCAGAAGCATCTGGCAAGTGTCACAAGCATATACAGTATGAATATTATAAAGGGGCTTACTAAATCCTAAGGAAGGAAGGATATTCTTTTAACACATAATTAATGTTATTTACATAATATCTGGCCAGTATGGGGAGGATCATCGTGTCTCCGTCAGAGGGTCGTGGAGTGGTGGTCCAGAAGGCGTCACGGAAGTGTTGTGTGTGTGGGGACATCTTAGGAGGTAATGGACTAGGGTGCGGCTGTCGGGTCTTCTGCATAATGCACATGAGCGTTGCTCAGGGGATGTGGGGATACCAGTCTCCCAAGCAAAGTCATACCCAATGATGATACGGGCAGCAATCACGTCCCTTTCCGCGACCCTTTTCCATAGACATAAGAGAGGTCAGGAAGTTTACGGAGGACATCGTACCAGGTGGGCGGGGAGACCAGTGGGATGGCTGCTTCCCGAGCTTCTCTCCGTTTGCGGCGAATTTGGGTCCTAAGCTGTAAAAGTGTTCGAGGAACAACGTAGTCAGGTGTGGCCTTGCTACAGCCAGTCTTGGCAAGGCCATCTGCTGCCTCATTCCCCAAGATACGGACATGACTGGGTATCCATAGGAATGTCACAGGACGGCCTGCATCCTAAAGTGTTGATGTTAGCCCTTGTATTTGGAGGATGAGGTCCTTATTTTCCCCTGATCCAAATGCGATCCTGTCGAGAGCAGACCTGGAATCGCAGCAGACAAGCAAGAGGCAGAAACCATCTGCTTCTTCATCAGCGAGAAGGGCAGCAAGAAGGGCTATTAGCTCAGCCTGAGTGGAGGATGCCCCGTCAGAAACTCTGAGAGAAAGTTTGATAGGCTCAGGGGCATCAGGACGGGAGATGTAGACACCAGCCCCTGCCCGACCTGTAGCGGGGTCAACAGAGCCATCAGTGTAGAGGACGACCCTACCTGGGGACCAGTGGGCGATCCTGGAGAGGTGGTATTTGAGGAGAATAACAGGGTTCACGTGGGATTTCGGGAGCGGTACACCGAGGGCAATCACTTCAGGTTAAAAATCCAGCCAGGGAGAAGGAGGCGAACCAACAACAAGGGTGACAACAATATCAGGCAGGAGGTTGTGTTCCTGAAGGGCTCGGATGAGTGACCCTCGCCACTGTCTTCTAGATGGAGGTCGGCCTTGGACAGCAGGAGTCATGTTGGCTTGGACATATTTGCCCTTAGGATCCAGTAGAATGGAAACAGTAGTTTTTAGGTAAAACTCCTGGACAAAATCCTGTAAGGGGAAAAGACCATGTTCGGTATATTGAGAAGTAGAGCGTGTCCACTGAGGGGCCCCAAGGATGATACGAGAAGCTTTCCTCTGGATAACTTAGAGACGGTTGACAGCAGTCTTGACGAGGGCAAGGGAGGCATAGTCGACACAGGAACAGAGAAAGGACTTGTACATGGTGAGAAGTACAGGGATGGTGGCACCAAGGGAACCCCTGCACATGGTAGAGAGGGGAGCGAGACGCCGAAAGCATATGTCTCGAAGATAGCGGACTTCAGGGATCTGACGTGTGCGAGTTACATACACACCCAGGTATTTTGTCTCATTAACCCAGTCCAAGGGCGTTCCTGATAAGAGAAGGGGTGGAGGTACAACACGACTGTGCCACATGGCTTTTGTTTTCGCAGTTGAAAGAAGGAAACCAAGTGAATCACACTCTCTGGAGACCAGATCAAGGGCTTCCTGCATGCTGAGGTAGTCA